AAAGAAGTATATTTATAAAAGGTTTTTCTTATATATAGTATATTAAAGATATATACTAATATAAGCGGGATTTACCCTATAGATACGCTAATTCCGGAGGAGGTATACGCTAGGGCAGGGGCTAAAAGCCTACCCGTCTCCTATTATAAAGCTAACTTTGGAGAATCCCTTAATATATATAACTACTTTATTTTTTTTAATAAAGACGTTAAACCCAGCTTTAAACTCTTTAGCAGCTCCCTCTTAGTAGAAATCTAAGTTTAGCCCCCTTAGGTTATTTAGTACCTGTAGTACTTTAAATTCTATAACCTACGGAATTACACTAAGACTAAAAGGTATTATAAATATAGTAAACCGTCTTTTAGATATAATAATACTATAGCTAATTACTTATCTCTGCCTTAGTATACTAACTATAATAGCCCTTATATAGTAAATTCCTTAAAATACCCTACTAGACTAGTTATTAAAAATAGGGAAAAAGTATAAATAACTAAAACCTAACTTTAGGTAATTTAGGAATTAAGCCAGTAAAAATATAATAAAGCTAACCTACTTAAACCTAAACCTACCTCTACCCTAGTCCTTAATATTAAAAAAATATCTAACCTAAAGACTTAAACAGGCCCCTGTATAAGGCTACTAATCTTTAGCTTAGCTTTACCTTTCCCCTCTTAAGCTTTAGTTAAAAAGGTTATTATTAAAGTTAACTTAAATAAGGAAGATCTTTATAAAGGAACCTCCCTTATTAAATTAATAGTTTACGTAATTAACCTAAATAATAAAGAGGAAGAAGCTGAAGGTAATAAAAATATACTTAATACCCCCCCTAGAACTAACGGACCTTTTAACATAAGCTTATAAATAACAGGCCCTATTACAGCTGCTAAAGAAATACTAGCCTTAAAATCTTTTAAGCTAACGTTAGAAAGAGCAGTTTATACTAGGATATTACCTTATTACTAGTATAAGAAGGTAGTTATAATATTATACTAATTTAGGAACCTTATACTTAATAAAATAAAGTATTAAATAAAAGGTAAATTAAAAATTACCCTAAATATTAAGTATATAACCCCTTAAATAGTTAAAGGGACGCTAAACCCTTAGTTCTTATATTTATTAGAATTTTTCTAAACCTCCTTAGTAAATAACTTTTTCCCCTAGGCCTAAAGGATAAATATATATACTAAATAAAAGTATATAATTATACTATTATTAATATTTACTAAAGGGCTTTAGTAGACTTAGCTATAAAAACCTTTATTAAATAAAGCCCTCCCCCCCCCTACTTAATTATTATAGGTAACTTTAATACTTTACACTAACTTTAGGAATTAAGCAGGGGCGTAGACCTAATAGGTAATAAAATTATAGAATAGGCGGAAAAGTATAATCTCCTCTTAGCTTTAATAAATACACCTACCTAACACTTAGGAAAATACATTAACCTAGTTTTTATAAACTGCCCTGCGTTAACTAAAGTTAAATACTTCCTTAATATAAGGTCGGACTACTATATAGTAATTATAAACCTACTTAAGCCCCTTAAGATAACCCTAGGGGTAGGGAAAAAATATATTTTATTAAAATACTAGGAAAACTTTAGCTAACTTATATACTCCTTTACTTAAACCCTTCCTATAGTTAACCTAACTATACCGTTAGAAATTAACCTTAATAAATACGCTAAAGCCCTATAGGATTTTATTAAATAAGCTATAAAGGGGGCCGGTAAAACTAGATACTAAAACGGCTATAGTATACTATAATAGTTGGAAAAGTATAAAGTAGCCTATAAGGCCTATAAAAAAGCAGTAGACGGCTCCCCTACTTAAAAAAGAGCCCGTAAAACCCTTAAAGACTTTATATACTATAGTAAGTAAGCTTACTAAAATAAAATTATAGCAGAAGCTAGTACTACTAGGAATATTTAGTTAGTAATTAAGTAGTATAAGGTAATAGACTGCTTTTAACTACTTTCTTTAATAAATAAGGATAAAAGTATCTTAAACCCTATAGAAAAAGCGACTTTCTTTAAAGATAAGCTTCTTAAACGTAAGATAATAAAAGAGGATATCTTAGACCTATAAAAAAAGGACTTTCCTATTAATAAAAATATTTACTAAAATTAAATAATATTAGAGTTAAAGACTAAGAAAGCTATAATAAAGTTAGGTAATACTACGCCTAGCGTAAATAGTATATTAGTTACCCTTCTATAGCTTACCTAGTCTACTATTAGTAAGTATATAATTAACCTTTTCTACGGATATTTAATAATAGAATACTACCTACTCCCCTTCTGAAGTACGGAGATTATTATTATCCTTAAACCTAGGAAGCTAGAGAAGGTATATATTATATATAAAGGCTATAGACTTATCTCCCTATTTTCTTATATAGGCAAAGGCCTTAAGAAACTTCTAGCTAGAAAAGTCTCCCTCTTAGTAATAGAATATAAAATACTATTAAAATAATATTTTAAAGTTTTCTTAAAAAGGTTTATAATAAACTTAGTTACCTACCTGCTATATAATACTAAAGTTACCCTAGCCTAAGGTTTTATCGTCTCCCTCCTTATACTTAATATCTCTAATATATTTAATATTATTATATATAACCGCCTAGTATATAAACTTAGGGAATAAGGGTGGCCCCCTTTTTTTATAAAATAGGTTGATTTTTTTATAAGCAACCGTAAGGCTTTTATTTAAAACAGCTATAGGACTACCTTCCTAAAGATAAAGTTAAAATACAGAGCCCTATAGGGGTCCTTTATTTCCTTTATTATCTTTATATTTTATTTTTCCCCTAGCCTAAAGCTTAATAACCCTAATACCTACTTTAAATACGTAGATAATATTAATATTATAGCAGTAGGGGTTAATATTAAAGAAACTACCTAAAAGCTTTAGTAGGAATTAGAAAATACCTTAAACTAGGGTAATAAGAATATAGTTTCCTTTAACTTAGATAAGGCTGAACTTATATACTTTTATAAGATTAGAATTTAAATATATAACGAAGGAGTAGACTTTAGAGGAAAGACTATAGCCCCCTAGGACTTAGTCTAGTAGTTAAGGATATACCTAAATTTATAGCTTTTTTTTAAAAAATACCTTAGGATTATAAAGGAAAAAGCCCTTAAAGTAGCTAATTTCCTAAGATTTTTAAATAAAATATAAAAAAGATCTCCGCTAGATGTAGTAGCTATAGTAGCTAAGGCCTGTATTACTTCTATAGCCTTATATAGGACGGAGGCTTTTTAGCCTAGCGAAAGTAGATAGAGTATAATAAACCTAAATAGATAAGTGGGAATAGGCTTAATAAAATTAACTATAATCCTGGAATCTTTATTTAAAGTAGTAGCTAGAGTAGTTATCCTTATGTAGAAGATAACTAACTTTTCTATTATATATAGAGAATTAGGAGTCCCCCTGGCGTTAGTATAGGTAGTATAGACTAGACTCTGTATAGTAGCTCGCTTCGTAGGTCTAAATAGGAACCACCTGGTCAGTAGATATATTAATAAAAAACTCCCCCCTAGGGTTCCCCCTACCTAACTGTAATATACTATAGCCTTAGTAGGGAAAATAATTTAACCTTCCTTATTTACTAAAAATAATAAAGTAGTTTAAGTAGGCCTAGACTTTAGAGGCCTACTAAAGTTAAAGGCAGCAGAAAAATACCTAGAACTATTTAATAGCCTCCCTAGGTCTACCCTCCTTACTTACTTAAATAAGTTATAGAATAAATAAGGTAATACTAACTAAGGAGCTGTTATATATTATAACTTTAAGAGAACTATAGTATGTAGCCCCCTTGCTAACGCAGAGGTCTATAACGCCGAGGCAGTAGGCGCCTTTAAAGCTATAAAGCTAGCTAAAACGCACGCCCTTGTAAACCTAAATATCTAAAAGATTCTACTTTTCTTAAATAACTTAGCAGTAGTAGATAGAATACTAAGGCTAACCCCTACCTTATCCTAAGGAGCCTATATAGGGCTATGCTAAATTGCCCAGAGACTATTCCTATAGGTAATTATAAAGGTAGCCTAGGTCCTAGGCTATAAAAATATATTAGAAAATAAAAAAGCCAACCGACTAATAAAGGAAGGTTTAAAACTCCCTTACTACTTAAGAAACTACTTTACTATTATTTTTATTAAAAGGTAGGTGAAAAAGAAACGTAGGGAAATATAGGATAATAACTAGAATAATAACTACCTAAAGTTATATAAGACCGGTAGATAGGGCCTTTATAAAGCCCTCTTTATACCCCTGGAGCTATATCTCCTATGCCTAATCCTATATAGGCTATTAGCTAAAAGGTCTAAATACAAAGACTTTATAAAATATTGTAAAAGATTTAAATATAATACCAGGCCTACTTATAAATACAGGGAGCTAAGGATATAAGGGTACTTTATAAAGTATTATATAGTAGCCCCTTTCTTCCCTAATATACTAGAAAAGGAGGTATACTTTAAAACTACCTATATTTAATACCTCCTTAGTAACGGAGGGTATAAGGACTTCCAGAAGCTAGTGGAGGAGATAAGCTTATACGGCCCCCCCCCTATAAAAATAAATACGTAAAATAGATTAATACTTCCCCATTTCCTTTATTATATTAAAATATAGCAAACGCCCGATTTAAACTCAGCGGCTCCTACCGTCCTAGTGCCTAGATAAGGACTTATGTAACTAGATTACTTAGTAGACGTTAATAATAAAATAAACAAATAAACAAATAAACAATATTTCAGGGCTCTCCCAAAAAGGTCTACGATAGACCTAATTACCTACTTACTATACAACGCCAAAATCGCCCTAGCCCAGGGCCTCGTCGTCTCTCTCCTTATACTTAACATCTCCGGTATATTTAATATTATTATATATAACCGCCTAGTATATAAACTTAGGGAATAAAAATAGCCCCCCCTCTTTATAAAATAAATTAACTCCTTTATAAGTAACCGTAAGGCTTTTATTTAAAACAACTATAGGACCACCCTCCCGGAGACAAAGCTAAAATACAGAGCCCTACAGAGGTCCCCTATCTCCCCTATTATCTCTATACTCTACTTCTCCCCTAGCCTAAAGCTTAATAACCTAAACACCTGCTTTAGATACGTAAACAACATTAGCATTATAGTAATAGGGGCTAATACTAAAAAAACTACTTAAAAACTTTAATAAAAATTAGAAAATACCCTAAATTAGGGAAATAAAAACGCAGTCTCCTTTAACTTAGATAAAGCTAAACTTATATACTTCTACAGGACCAGAACCTAAATATATAATAAAGGAGTAAACTTTAAAGGAAAAACTATAGCCCCCTAAAACTCAGTCCATTAGCTAAGGATATACCTAGACTTACGGCTCTTCTTTAAAAAACACCTCAGGATTATAAAAAGGAAAGCCCTTAAAGCAGCCAACTTCCTAAAATCTTTAAATAAAATATAAAAAAAATCCCCGCTAAATACAGTAGCTATAGCAGCCAGGGCCTACGTCGCCCCTATAGCCCTATATAAAACAAAGGCCTTTTAGCCTAGCAAAAGTAAATAAAGTATAATAAACCTAAATAAATAAGTAGGAACAGGCTTAACGAGGCTAACTGTAATCCTAAAACCCCTATTTAAAGCAGCAGCTAAAGCAGTCGTCTTTATATAAAAGATAACTAACTTTTCCGCTATATATAAAAAATTAGGAGTCCCCCTAGCGTTAGTATAAGTAGTATAAACTAAACTTTATATAGCAGCTTACTTTATAGGTTTAAATAAAAACTACTTAATTAATAAACGCATTAATAAAAAACTCCCTCCTAAAGTTCCTTTTACCTAACTACAGTATACTACGGCCTTAGTAAGGAAAATAGTTAAACCCTCCCTTTTCGCTAAAAATAATAAAGCTATTTAAGCAGGCCTAGATTTTAAAGGCTTATTAAAAGTAAAGGCAGCAGAAAAGTACCTAGAGCTACTTAACGGCCTCCTTAGATTTACCTTCTTTACCTACTTAGATAGATTATAAAATAAAAAGGGTAACATAGGCTGGGGAGCCGTTATATACTACAACTTTAAAAAAAACATAGTATATAGCCCCCTTACTAACGTAAAGGTCTACAACGTAAAGGCAGTAGGTACCTTTAAAGCTATAAAACTCACTAGGATAAAAGCCTTCGTAAACCTAAATATCTAAGAGATCCTACTCTTCCTAGATAACTTAGCAGTAGTAAACGGAATACTAAGCCCTACCCCCGCCTCCTCTTAAGGAGCCTATATAAAACTTTAATAAATTACCTAAAAGTTACTTTTATAAATTACTATAAAAGTAGCCTAGGTCCTAGGCTATAAAGACGTACTAGGAAATAAAAAGGCTAACTAGTTAATAAAAAAAGGTTTAAAACTCCTTTACTACCTAAATAACTATTCTACTATTACCTTTATTAAAAAGTAAGTAAAGAAGAAACGTAGGGATATATAAAATAATAACTAAAATAATAACTACCTAAAGTTATATAAAATAAGTAAATAAGGCCTCTACAACGCCCCCTCTATACCCCCTAAGCTACACCTCCTACACCTAATCCTACATAGGCTTTTAGCCAAAAAAACCGGACACAGGGACTTTATAAAATACTATAAAAGATTTAGATATAATACTAGACCTACTTATAAATATAGTAAGCTAAAGATATAAAAATACTTTATAAAGTACTATATAATAGCTTTCTTCCTCCTTAATATATTAAAAAAAAAAACGTACTTTAGAACTACCTATATCTAATACCTTTTTAGTAATAAAAGATATAAAGACTTTTAGAAACTAATAGAGGATATAAGCCCCTACGGCCCCTCCCCTACAGAAGTAGATATATAAAATAGATTAACACTTCCCCTTTTTCCTTTATTATACTAAAACATAGCAAACGCCTGATTTAAACTCAGCGGCTCCTACCGTCTTAGTGCCTAGATAAAGACTTATATAACTAGCTTACTTAGTAAACGTTAATAATAAAACAAAACAAACAAACAAACGGACTTAACAAAGAAAGACGTCAAATTCGAACTAACACAAGACGCCTTAACAGCCTTTAAATACCTAAAAAGAGCTTTTATAAATACGCTAGTACTTAAGATATTTAACCTAAACAAACCTATTATAATTAAAACTAATACCTTAGATTACGCAATCGGAGGAGTACTTAGTTAACCTAATAACATAAAGAAAAAGAAACTTAGGCCTATTGCCTACTTCTTAGAGAAACTACATAAACCAAAACTTAAATACCCTATCTATAATAAAGAATTTCTAGCCATATACTAAGCGCTTAGTAAGCAGTATTAGAGATACTATTGTAAAAAAAGCCGATTTCTAGTAATAATCCTTATAGATTACTAGAATATTATTTACTTTATAATAATACAAAAACTATCCTATAGATAAGTTAAGTATTATAAGCAACTTTCCGAATTTAAGCTTATTATCAAATACTACAGCGGATTAGATAACGGACGCGCTAATATACTTAGCAGACGCCTAGACTACTTCTAAGAAATCCCAGAAGTTAAAGTATAAATACTAGAGAAAAACCAGTATAAAGACCTAATAATTTAATCGATTAATACCTTATACTAAATAAAGATAAATAATCTAATTATTAACGATATAAAGGAATACGTTAAGAACTAGGAGAATAAATAATACCCAGAAGGTGTTTTTATAAATACTAAATACCTAATACTAGATGGACTTATTTAAGTATTAGAAGACTTATAAAGCAAAGTAGTAAAATTAATCTACGTATATAAGCTTAATAAATACCATAAAATTAAGAAAACTATATAGTAGATTATATAATACTTTAAATTTAAAGGTATTAAAAAATAAGTATAGAAGGTTATATTAGAATATATAATATATAGATAAACTAAGGTATTATATTATCTTCCTTATAGAAAACTATAACTTTTACTAGTTCCAGTTAGGAATTAGAAATTAATAATATTTAACTATATTATAAAGCTTCTACCTTTAAAAAAACCTATAATTAATAATACTTAGGATAGTATTTTTATAGTAGTTAACTAACT